TCCAAACAATAACGGAGAAACCGAACCCGAGTTGTCCTTTGTTGAACTTGCTGGGATTTGAACCCCGGACACTTGACATGGGACCCATGCGTGCCAGTCCAACACACGATGAACACTTGAGCGACGTCAATTTTGGTATGTCGAATTTAGCAGGCCTGCCTTGATTTAATACACTCTTACACTGGAATGTTCAACCGTGGTAGTGTGCACGGATGAAAAGTGAATCGGCTGAGATCGCCATGTACCGAAACGTGTCGATTGATGTTTCAGTTGACCGTTACTCGAAAATGCAGGGATGTTATCTGAACTTATCCGTTTTTGAAAGTTGCGATAGTGGACCTGCCCTACACGACCGAAGTACACAGTTGCAGTGCTTTGACCAAGAGTAAAAAGCAATAACTTACCGTTACCAACCTACCGTCTAAATGGGGGCGAGGTGGGCCAATTGGTTAGAGCGCGGTTAACCAACCGGGAGGTTCGTGGTTCGAACTCGACCTCTGCCTCCCGACTCCACCTGTCTAGGCTTGGGCAACCTAGCAGTATCCCAGCCCTCGTGCCTTCTTCATATGGCATGGCAGCTAGGCACCGAAAGGGTGCTACAGTTGAACGATTTTTTATGGTGCAAAATCACCGTGAAACAGCGACTGTTTACTTTCAGTGGTGACTATGCTTTTCTCTTATGGAATATAAACGTGAAATGTCGCCGAGTAGACTGATGGTTCTCTTCAGGAGGTGCCAAAAAGCGAGATACACTCGTTTGCCAACGAACTTGGTTTTGCGAGAGACTCACCCGGAACCCAGCCTCCGGTCGCCTCATGTTTCAGTTGGTACCATTTTCGAGCTATCGAAAGACACGTATATTCGTAATGCACTACTCATAAGGTCGAAGAATTTTCAGCAACTTTATAAGATAACAAAAGGCTTTTATTACCTGGTGTTCGTTACCCACGTGCTTATGATCAAGTTTTGATGAGGAGTCGTTCGAAATTGCGCCCAAAAGTGTCGGTTTGGAGATGTGCATTTAATTTTGGGGCTTTTCCAGACGCCAGAGAGGGAGAGCCGCTGGAAATTGACTGCAAAGATGATTGAATGAAAAGAAGCACAGAGTGTTTTACTCCATGGAAAACAGCAATTCGCATGAATAAATTACAACCTTGTTGGACTGCCACAACAGTTGGTAGTTTTCGCCGGGTCAAACTGAGACTTGAATCCCTGGATGGCATCAACTTTTGACAAATGCTGATTTTTTTTAGCCGGGTGAGTGTGCGAATGTCGCGAAATTGCAAAATTACACCAACTGTTTATCTGGCCGTAATATTTTTCCCTTCAGTGTTTAGAGGTGTGAAATGCCAGGAATCTAATTTCGCTACTTGCTTCCAACTCTCGTCCGGCCAGGTTCTGGTTTCTCATCAAAATGAAGCTAAAAATGCCAAACTGTTCATGTAGCGTTTAATCTTAAGCGTTAAACTGAAAGCCAAGAGCAGTCGCAACAAATAAAAAATACTGTACCGAAGAGGCCTTACTAATTTTTAATGTGTCTGTAGTGCTTGTTTTTTTTTATTACAATCTGTCTGTCAGTATTTGAGTAAACGCACGATCGGGTGCGCGGGTACCCTAGTGCCAAACAGCCAACCACTCAAAGACTGCAATAAACTAAAAGAACAAAAAAAACAAGAAACGGGAACTGAACCGATGTATCAAAAATCACTAGGGAAGACCGCCAGTTCACGTAATTTCCTAATCAACCAAGAACAAGTTGATAGAACTGCTCTATTAATAACCGTGTGTGCTGTTGCTATCAGCCAGACTTTAGGAATTAGATAAACATGGGGGAAAAGCTGTTAGTTTCCACTTATGAACAGCGAAGAGACTTCTGGCAGACAGTTATTAACTCTGGCGTACAGATGGACAAATGTGGTCGGAACTAACGTAAGGACACATAAGGACTGAATCATGAGACGGCCTGGTGCAGCACATCACAAACGAGAGATTCAGCTGGGTTCCATGTGAGTCTCTCGAAAAACCAAATTAGTTTGCAAATGAGTGCATTTCTCGAAAACAGTCCAATTTGTTTACAAGTAGAACGTAAGGTTGACGGAAACCCGGGGATTGCGCCTATCTGATGAGCCCCAAGAAGGGCAAAACCGGTCGTGGGCTGTCGACTAATTTTCAGCAACCTCATGAGTAGTACATTACAAAGAATAAACACAAGGACACTTTCGTTACCATCTTCAAGAGAAATTGTTCTAATTTTCTCGGACATTGCATCCTGAATAGTCGGAGCAGAATGCGTGCACTTTTAGTGACATATAACCTCGTCTGTTACCCATCATTTCCAGCAAAAGGGCAAAATTTGTTCACAGCCGAGTTAAGAAACCTAAGCAGCTTATTTGTGCAACAGAGTTGGTTTGTTCGGGGAGTTCCTTAAACAATCTGTGACCAAGGATCCCCAGGAAATCGTTGGATCGAATAGTCTCGACGAACTGATGCTAACAACTCGAATCATCTATGAATACAATCCGGCATTATTGCGAATTCAAATATATCCAGACACAGCGTTTTTTGGCAGCTTTCAAGCCGGGACGTTCGCCATAGACAAAGATGAGATACCTCCAGAATTCCAATGCGAAAAGAGTTTTCTACTGAAACAATGCGTTCGCACCTATTTGTCAACAGATTTTCGAACATTTTGGCTGGCTCTAACATGCCATTACTTACTCGTTTTTGACTTCACAAAGGTTTGATGGAAGACTTGTATTGTAAACACCAAATGGATTGAGCGATTTACAACAAAATTTCAACACTATCTTAAACCCTTTGGTTCATTCCAGTGCTCTGAAAAGACATGCGATGTGGGATATGAAGTTTCAATTGGAGCAACTCAGCTGGGGATCGAGAACGAAGTTCCCCTTCGATTGGAACTCAAATCCATATTTTGGGCTTAGCACAGGAAACCTATGCAACTGATAACTAGTCATAATATCTTCGAATGTTTAATTCAATGAGACAACAATTGAGTGAAGGAACTCATAGTTACATTTAGTGATCCCTTATCCTAGCCAGCTCAACACTAGCGTTTTCGAGTAGTTTTAAGTTTCATTTAATCACATTGAATTTTAAGGAAATAACTCAACGTTCGGCTGCTGAATCACATAGGTAATCCGAAAAGAAATGAAGGCCTTAAAAATCAACCCATGTTTGCACGGCTGGTTTCTTTTTGTCCCAAATATAGGTCACCATTACTGTGAAACGTTCGTTGTTGAACTCCAAAGATGTAATACTGACGGCAAACCCATCCATGTCTGCATTACAGAACAAAATGTTCAACAAAAATGTACTTGGGAATGAAAATACACTCCACGGTCAGCAACCAAGTAATTCTGATCGTATTCTTGAGCATCAAACTCACCAAAAAAACACAATAAAGTGGAAGGCATTATTTCACTTATTTTGACAAGACGAGGAGAAGCAGTGAGCTAAATTACCGGCACATTCGTCCGTTAGTTAATGAACGAGAAGTATAAAATCTTTACCAAAAATAATGGATCGCTTCCAGTGGTGAATTAAAATACAACCATGGGAAATGTGTCCTCTACTGTATACGCCGCCTACTGTACTTTCGAGGAAACTTTCATGAAACAAATCGATAAGCCGACAGACCCATTGATCCCCGCACTGACGGTGCCACCCCGCCACCATGCTCGGCGAACAGGTCAACTTCCAATGCAATGCAAGCGAGCAGCCTATCTTCCAGAACATCACCAAAGCATCTAAGTAGCGATGGGCTTTGGTGTCGCACACACCGCATATGACAGTTTTTGTTTCGAATATTTCGAGCCCAAATTGAAGGAACTGTTCAACTGGTCACCTAGACTGCAAAGAGTCGATCATACAGAGAGAAATTCTTAGCCACGTGGTGACGCTTTTCGATACTACTCACTTTTCAGAAAACGAATAATAAATATTCCAGACGGTTCGGATACGGCCCGAAAAACGTCCTAGTTAGATTAGGGTTAGGAAAAAAAGCTGTTTTTTAAACTCATGCCTACGGAAGAAGCACGGAAGTACGCCGAATTTAGACTGATAGTTGACCAATCAAAATGGTCACGGGAACACATGCAGTCAATTGGTATCCAGCTGCCACCTGGTCATTTAAGACGAATGATGTTAAAATCAGCTGATCAGGGTACACCCTGTAGCCATCTCCGATTACCTCTCGGCTCAACTGGTATTCAGTATACCGGCATGTAAGCCGGTTCATCAGAATCCCTCTTGAAAGCAAAAATTTGTGAAAGAGGTACCGGTCAGTTTGATGTCGAAACTCAAAGGAACAGTATATTTTCCGTCAACCGGATCGGCATTTCTGGGAATTCATTCCGTTAGTCGCGTAATTTGCGCACTATGAAACAACAACTGCTAGGCTCTGTTCGTTTCTTGGAAAACATCCGCACTTCATTTCTTCAGTCTGAAAAACTGCAAAAAATCATGTATGCCTTCGTAATGTACTACTCATAAGGTTGCTG